TTCGTTGCATCATTGAACCCAATCAGTGGGGTGGATTTGCCATTCCACCACAAATGTCAATGGGAAATACAGTTTGGATTACAGAAATGAAGATCGACATGGCCAAGTCTTTCATTTCAGAGATGTTAGGTCTCAAATCTGGGACAAATAGCTAACTGGGTGGGGCTATATGATCCTGAGGCAGAGTAGTGTCTATGTAAACTAATTTGCAACGGGAACTGCGCAGAAACAGAGGGAGGAACTTACTCCCGACTTCTGTTATTAACCAGAGGTATGATGTTGGACCAGGAATTTATCCAGGGCTTGTCTTGTCTATAAACAGAGATTTCTGTTAGGTTTCTTCTAGTTTTAATACTGGGAGATTTATTTCCTGATCATAGAAGTGCTCTGAAGATCACTGATAAAGTAGAAGAAAATTTGTCAACTTGTGGGGGCAGGAGGTAAAACAGATAAGAAACCAAGTATCAGCACAGATTAAAAAAAAAAAGAAGATTTAATCTCTGTTATCTCACATGAAGTCCTCTAGTGCAGAGGATCACAGCTCAGGCCTTGAGAGCCGTCACTGTGTGTAGAAAGACTTAGCCTCCAACAATTCAGGGGAGATGGTGTCTGTAAAGAATGACCAACATAGTTAAATCCATCTTCAAAAACAGGTGGCAGGAAAATGAATGAGTTAAGGTACCTTGAATTCATTTTTAATATGGCAGCAATTTCACCATTTATTTCAACGCATTGGGCTAAATATTTGCCAAAGATACTTAAGAGTATTTCTGGATCTCATTTCTATAGAACAGTAGGGTTGAAATAGACGACCTGTGGCTTTCAGCTTTGACGACAAATAATTTAATTTTCTATCCCTGAATAATAAATTCTTGATGTGATCCTTCCTCTCCCCTCTTTGGTTTACTGACGTTTTCACTGGGGTTACTAGAGCCTAAGGCTAAAATTGCCACAATCCACACCAACTCCTAAGAAATGTTGTATAAATGGATTCTGCCATTTCCCTAGCTGGGAACTTCCTCTGCCAGTGCTGGTGGGTCTGCCGAGAAAGCCTCATATGACTATAGAGTGATAGCTGCTGGTTACTAGTAGGTTACTAGTAGAATACACCAGCAGGCTGAAACGTTTCTACAGATCTTTGCTCCTTGCTCCAAAAGTCTCCTTTTCAGAACAGCTGATTCCCTTAGTCACTGTCATTTCAAATGGAAAAACAAAATGTCTCACTTCTACCTGGGTTGTTTCCTTTCTCTCATGAGCTGGAAGAATGTCCAAGAGAGGGAATTTTTGTTTAGATGGCCTAGAAATCTGAAGCTTCAGAAATATGCTGTTTTGTTAGCTCTTCTCCCAAATTTTGACCATTGAAAGATTTCTTTTAGAAAACCATAGCCGATAGTGATCAATGTCATTCCTAATGTCTGGGACGTAGATCTGAACCTTATGCCCGCATGTCTGTGATGTTTTTAAGAGTAAATTCAACACACGCGAGAGCCCACAGTTGTTCCGACTCACACCCTGTTGCATCTGGTTGCCGCTCATCTCTGTCAAGATCTGTGGTTGCAAGCAACAGAAACCCAAGTCAGGCTTGCTTAAGCAAAACTAGGAATCTGACCAGAGAATTCAGAAGACTTGAGATACAATAGCTTCAAACTTGATTATATCCAGGGGCTTACATATGATCAAGACTCTTACCAAATCTTGAACCTTCTTGTCTTGCCACGTTTCTGAGTAAGATCCCCTAATTGTGCCCACACCCCCAGAAAAGCCAGTTGGTCGAGGCTGGAACCACAAAGATAAAAGCAAGAAAACGCTAAGGAGGAAGTAAAAAACTGAGGAGGCTGCAGACAAGAACTTTTTGTTTCTTATAGAAAATTTAGAGATTTATCTTTTTAAATGGGATTGAGGCTTATAAAAACCTCACTTGAAGAAAGGGATTGGCAGTCTGATTTCGATTCACTTCTCCTATGTTTTGGGCACAGTCCAGCTGTTGAGGTTCAGGAGGAGGCTCGGAGATGACGGTGTAGGTTCAATGGTTAAAACTGGGTTCAGCCCCGTCTGGGCAGTTAGTGGGGACCCACACTGTAGTGTTGCCAGAGAAGAAAGGCAAGCCTTGCCTTTTGCTTTTCTTTGCTTCATCCAGGCAAGGGAAGCAATCTGGCTCTTCTTGGCCATGACACCGCTTTCTCTATGAGTTGCTTGCCTGCCCTGTCTGCAGGCAGACCTGATACCGTTTCCCTCCAACGGCTCCTCATACTGAACTTTGATAGGACTTAAAACACACTGAAATTGAGGGAAATGAAGAATGGGACTCTTTGTCCCCCATCCCCGACATTTTGTCCCCTTTCTCTCTTCTAGGTCAAACCCACTAGTTTTTCTTTCTGTCCCACTTTTCAAAATCTCCTGAACATATATTCTTGTGGAATGGCGGATACAATTTTTGTCAAACGATGTTTATCACTGGCTCTCACCAACAAAAAACCCTAGAGTGACTGGATTTTGAACCTTTAAGTCTCTCTCTCTCTGGGACACACACCCAATGGGATAGACTTAAAAACCAGAAACCTGGCTTTCTGGGTATAATCAGAAACGAAAGCAACATAGCTTAAAGGTAAAGTACCCCCTCTGCCATGTATGAACACAGCTGTAGCCATTTGCCATGGAAAGACAGAATGACTGGCCCTGCCCATGAAGGTTTTGCAAAGGGGACATGGTGTAGGAACGGGAAGTCTTGAGTTGTTCTGAATTTGTGGTGGCAGAAAGGGAAGATATTGGAGCCCTCAGCTGCTGGGGGGCAGGCAAGGTGAGGAGAAGCACGGACTGATGATCGTCTTCCAAAGAGGAGGCGCTGAGAAGGAACTTTGGATGAAAGGCCTGTGGATGCCCGGGTTTTCTGTTATGGCAGGATGCTAGTCAGTGTTACCAGAGCATAATCTGGAAAGTCCGTCCGCATTTTCACCAACAGCATCTGCGAGAGTGCAGGTTGTGGTTTTTTTTTTTTTCTTTCTTTCTTTCTTTTTTTTTTTTTTAAGGGAAACTTGAAGAAGAGGTTGTTTTTCATGGCCCCCAGGATACACAGGTGATGGATGGTAGCAGGGTGGTGGTAGGCTTGGGTGGAACTGAGAGAATGATAAGATGTCATCGGACACTCACAGAAATGCTGGAGGAGCCTCATTTTCTCCTGACTTTCAGGGAGCAGGGCTTGGTGATGGCTTAGGATGCTTCTGCGTGGTTCAGGGCTCTGCAGGGACCAGAGCAGCTCTCCACTAGTGACTCTTAAGTCTCACTATTGATTTTCAGGGGCTGGAAAAAAAAAAGCTGGGAGGTGGTTAGTGAAGGTCCTGGAAAAGGGGAGCTAAAGGGAGTGAGCAGGCTCTGGCTAGAGGTGCTGATGCTGTCTGAGGTCTATTTACTTCCCAGTCTTCTTGCCCCTATTTTGAAAGAGCAGCATTTCTCTGGATCTTCTCTATTTGGTGGGAGGGCTATGAATGCACTCTCTCGCTTAGTATAGTTACTCCAAACAAGGTGACAGCCCTGTGGGTTCTGTGGGATACAACCCCACCACCCGTCCTCCTTTCCTGTGTCTGTGAACTGGAGGTCACGGCAGTCTCTGTCTAACGTGCAGGGCGGGAGGGGGCCTTTGAGAAAGGGAGCATGGCATACTCAGCACTGCCTACTCCAGCGTGTGCTTATTTTACTTCAAAATGGCTCTGTAAAGGGGCCCACCCATATAATTTGGGGTGCACCAGTAACTATAACCTGGACCACAGCTTCCTTCCCAGGGGAAATCCTCTTCATCCATAGGAGATAGTTAGGCTGCGAAGATCGCTTGGGAGTCCAGTGCCCTGTTGTGCCTCCAGGCCTTCCAGGCCCCTCCCTGCCAAACTCCTGCTCCGGCTGTCTGAGTTCGGCCAGGCCTTTTGCTCTGCAACTCTGGTTCCCTCCCCAGGACAGCATAGGGCCTCTCCCCTAGGGTGTGTGACACACATTCTTTCTGTGTCTTGGGAAACGTTGGTTCCTTTCAGGTGAGTCTTTCACGTGCTGGTACCCTCAACGGGGAACATTAAGGTTCTCCAACCCGCCTATCTATTAAACACAAGCAAGTGACCTTGGGACACAAGTTTGCCTTTCCTTGAAGGACAGTGATAAGCAAATGTGTGACCAACCCACCTTCAAAGGTGACAGGCTTGCAGCCTCAGCAGGTATTTCTCTTGTGGTACCTCCTGGCTCACAGCGGATGTCCGGCACAGGAGCGATGGGCCAGTTGGCACTGTCCCTACAGCCCTGCTTTCTGGCCCTCTTTGTCATATTGGCGCTTCCCATAGACCAGGGACTCTCGCTGGTTACTTTATCTATTTCCCCCATTTGGGGACTGTAGTCCCCGTGATGCCTCTCATCTACATAAAACCCCCTTCCCACTTAGGACAAAATGAAAATTCCTTGCCTGGCCCCAGATTAGATTCTGTACAGATTCTGGACACCTCTCCACCCTACCCTATTTCTCTCCTGGGTTGCCTATTCCTTTGGCCCTAGATCTGTGTAAGGGCCTCCTCACTCCTTGCTCCAGGGAAGCTCTCCTCCCAGCCTTCAGCGTGTCCTTTATGAGGGGACACAGTTCAACGATGACACTTCTGAGAAGACAGGGTTCCACCCGCCCTGTATGTGTTTAACCGCGGTGCTGGCAGTCTGTGCCTGTGCTCTTCTTCTTTATCCGTCTGCTTTGGTGCTGCTTTCCCCGCTGGGGTGGCAGCTGAGTGGTGGCTGGGGCTGATCTGTGTAACCGGCTTGTCCATCTCACGGACACCTCCCAGTGGTGCCTTGGCATGGAGCTGCTCGATGATGCCGCGGATAAGATGTCTTGCTTTTTGGACCGGGATTGCGCACTCTAACGCCAGGTGAATGACTGGCTCAGTGTTGCTTTTTGTTGGGTTTTAAAGCATTTGGTACTGTGTGAATGTCTGTTGTCAAGTGTTGGAATGTGATGGAAAAGGAAGACACACGGAACAATGTCTTCTAAGCAGTGCCAGGAACGGGTCTTCTTTTACGTGCTCTATGAAGCCCGAGGGTATATGACAGGAAGGGCCGCGACTCAAATTCCTCTCCCACCACGGCTGCTAACTAGCAGGTGGGTTCTTAGGGCAATATTTCACGTGTTCTCTAGGTGAGCAAGTCACTCAACTCTTAAATAATTCTTGCTTCTCAGGTCTACACAAGGCATAGACCAGGGTTGTCTGGGGATCTCGCCCACTCCTAGATGCTAAACCTGGGTCCTTTTTGGGCTAGCATCAGTCAGCGTGGTTGCTAGTTCAATACATTTGGCTTCTTGGATGGGTGTGAATGTGTATTAGCAGTGTGATGCCCTGGGAAATGCTGTAAGAAGCTTTAGAACTTTCTGCCATGGGGGAAGGGACATCGATGAGCCCAAAGGGGCAGCCTCAGTGAGAAGTTGACGTGGGAAAGAGAAGGTGTGCCGTGGGGGGGAGTCAGCATTCCAGACTGCGCTGTGCCCACCTGTCTGTGTGAGGGCTCGATACACACAGGACGGCTTCAGGCACAGCACAGTGCTCCAGTGTGAAGGGATCTGAGAGACACGTGCTGATGGGAGGGGCTGACGACTGTGTACAGGCTCAAATCTGTAATGGCCTGGGCACATTCCACACTTTCCATGCAGTCCCGTAGAGGATGGCTGGCTGCTTGGTGAGTGGTCATTAGCTCCGGCTGACACCAGACAAGCCCCTGTTGGGACTTCAGGGCCCTTGGGGAGCTGGACTTTGTGGGTGAATTGAGCAGCTTCCTGTGAATAGCAAATGGGCATATGAGTGAAAGTGTGCACTTCAAGGGCACACCAATTGCACCTAAAAGTGCTCGGCTGTGTCACGGTTGGCAGCTTTGTTCACGGGCTTCTTTGTTGTTTCTGTGTATTGCCTCCTATTCTGCTCCCTGGCAAGTCAGCATGAAGGCCCATGACTGATGGCAGCCCCAGTTTATAGCTGGCCAGGGCTAGGTTTGTAGTTATACCCTTTCTAGGTGGTGTGACAGGGACCTGTGTATCTGCTGATGGTGTAGAGACACTCGTCATCTATTCTTCTTTTCTATGGCCAGGCCAGTCCTGTTGGTTCCATTTTGCCTGCGTGGGATTCTGCCTCAGTTTCTCCATCTAGTATCTCTCCCCCAGGCCTTGCTGGTACCAGTTTGAGTGCTGAGCCCACTGAACCCCTATTGCCTCTCTGTTCCTCTAAAGAGAAGTATGTTCATTCACTCTTGCTGAAGATTCTGGCAACAGCTCTGCCACCAGAAAGACTCCCCAAAGTTGTGTCCTTGATGTGACATGCCAAGCCCCCTATGGCAAGGCATTCCAGTCTTAGTACCAAGAAGCTCATTTGGGGTGCCATACCCTGGCAACAGAGGGTGACCCAAGATAAATGAGACCCCAAGGAGGCCGGGGTCACTCCAAGGATCATGTGAAGTGATCCAAGAGTTCTCAGCCATGTTCTCATGATCGGCTTGATGGGGGGAGCATGTAGGACATCTAAGGGTGTCTTCGGAAGCCCCCACATAACAGAAGACATGGTTAACTTGGCTTAGGATGGAAGGAGTAGAGATGGAGGTGGACATCTTCAGGAGACAGATTCGGTAGAACTCAGCCCTTGTTGGATTGGGTGGAGGCAGGAGGTGCCACATCCTTGGCACCAACGACATCTTTGTTGACATGCCAGTTTGTACAAGGAGACCATCAGGAAGGAGGGTCTACTGTTTGTGGGGTGGGAAAGGTCTCTGTATCAGGAGGGAGGGCTGGTTGATCCTGCTGAGATGGAGCACTGTTATGTGGCGATGTGGAATAGGACAGGAACTCGGAACAGAGCTGTAGTCTGGAGGTAGAAATCTGGGGAACATATTCACACCCTAGCAGTGGATAAGGCCTTAAAGGGGAGGTCTCTGGTATGCAAATTAAAGTGAATTGAAGCTTGAATTTAGATCCACTTCTTTGTGTAAAGCCTGGTGGTAATAGACTAGGAACTCCTAAAGGAGAGCTCAAGAAGGCTGGCCAGAGGGTCCGAATGTGAGCAGAGATGTTCCCCAAGGCCTGAGGGATGGAGTCCCGAAGAAGCAAAAAATAGTTCACCGTGTTCAAGTCTTCTGGAATGAGAGAAGGAAACAGCGCAAGAAGCAGGCATGTGACTGGCCAGGTTGCTGGGGACACCAACTTTGGAGGGTTGAGAAATGAGTGAAGATGATGGGGAGTGGACCAATGGGCAGGTAGCTCAAAGGAGGTTCTGGGATGGGAAGAGGAGAGAACTAGAGGTGGCCAGGCACCTGGGAGAACTCATGAGGGAGGGAGGAGTGTTCGTGAATACCGTGGCAGAGCCTTGAACAGAGAACTTGGGGTTAGAGAGAAAGGACTGGAAGTGGGGGCGAATGCCTGAGAAACTGTGTGGAGTTGGGATGAGAAGCATCTCCATAAGCCTTGCTCTTTTACTTGAGAGGAGATGCTTCACTAGAATGGAAGCTGGGGGACTCCCAGGGACCGTTTGGATGGAGTGATACTAGGTTGTGACTAGAATCACTGCTTCATGGCCTCTTGTTTTCTCTGAAGCACTTCAGATGAGGTCATCATAATGCCCATGAGGCAGCAGAAGAAGCTAGAAGGTCTGAGGACAGAAGACCAGGTGTGACTGTCATGGAGGAGAGGAAGGGGAGTGAGCGCCTGTGACCCCATAGTTGAAGGGGGAGTACTCGTATCCACCAGAACATAGCAAATTCCCATGGTTTTATTTCTTGTATTGGTGGACTAGGGTGGGGGTAAAAGGTGCAGGTTGAGTGGGGTGAGTGATATGGAGGTGCGGATTTGATTGGCACAAGACGGCCCTGCATACCTGATGCTGGAGGTTACAATGGCCCCTATCCTTTGTACTTGGCATTGCCATCCTTAGCTGTAGAAACAAGGAGCGCTTCACGGGAACCCATCTAGAGGCTTACTCCTGCCAGACACTGTGGACAAGGATCTGACTTAAAGATACTACCCTGTCTCAGAGGTTTAAGGGATTTTAGAATCTGTAGTAAGATCTGCCCCACCCGATCACCCGTTCTGATTTTCCCTCGTGTACGCCGAGTGTCTTCTGGGAAGGCCAAGGTGGATGGGTGGAGGTCAGGGGCCTTGGATCCGGTGAATTACTTCCTGGGGAGTCTGGGCTTGCATCCCGGTCCAGTCGCACACCAGAGAGTGAATTGCTTTCCAGCCTCTCCTGCTGTCTGAGACCACTGCAGCTCTGCGCTGGTGGATAGCCACACTCAGAGCTCTCTGAGGAAGATGGGACGGGCTTTGTGGCCCACACTCTGAGTGGTTCACTGACAGTATTCTCTGATATACTACTTGTTAGTTTTCTTTTCAAAAAATTTTATTTATTTTTTCTTTTATTCTTATCTCGTAGATTACATCTGGACTACAGTTTCCACTCCTTCTATGTCTCCCAGTCCCCTCCCACCTTTCTTCTCCCATAAATCTACTTCTCCTCTGTTTGCCTTTAAATAAGAGCAGGCCTCCCAGGGATAGTCGCTGAACATGGTCTAATAAGTTACAATAAGACGAGGCACAAGCTCTTACACCTTGATGAGGTAACCAAGTAGGAGGAAAACGTTCCCCAAATCAGGCAGAGGAGTCAGAGACACCCACTCCCACTGTTGGGAGTCTCATAAGAACACCAACCTATACAACAATAAAGTATATGCAGAGGACCTAACTCAGACCAATACAAGCTCTGTGATTGTTGCCTTAGCCTTTGTGACCCCCATGAGGCCTGCTTAGTTGATTCTGTGTGCTGTGTTCTCGTGGTGTCTCCGAGACCACTCTGAATCCTACAATCCTCCTGCCTGCTCTTCAGCTGGACTCCTGGAACTCTGTCTAATATTTGGCTGTGGGAATCTGCATTTGCTCCCATTAGTTGCCGGAAGAAACCTCTCTGATGACGATTATGCTAGGCCCCAATCGACAAGTGTGGCAGAATATCATTAAGAATCATTTCATTGACTTTTTTTTTTTTGCCAGTCATATTTGGTTCTATCCTGGTATCTATCTCCAGGCTGACTAGCCTATGGTTCTTGGTTATTCAGGCAGTGTTAGGCATGGGCCTTAAGTGGGACCAGTTTAGTTGGCCGTTCCCACAAGTTCTGTGGCAGCCCGGCACATCTTGCGGGAAGGACGGATTGCAGAGTGAAGGTTTTGGGGCTTGGTGGGTGTCTCAGTCCTGTTTCTAGAAGCCTTGCTTGGTTGTAGAAGATGACCACTTTTGGCTCTGTAGCTCCCATTTCTAGAAGTCTTCACTAGGGTCGCTCTCATAGATTCCAGGGAGTTTCCACCATTCTAGGCTACTGCATCACCCTCCAAAAGCCCCCCAATCACAGCCACCTCTCCCTCCATCCCTCCTATCTCCTGCCTGACCCCTTCTGTTCCCATCCTCACCTGTCATACCCACCAGTCCACCTGCAAAATTTATTCTATTTCCTCTTCCCAGGGATATCCTGGGTTCCCCCTTGAACCTTCCTTGTTACGTAGCTTCTCTGAGTCTTTGAAATGTAACACAATTGTCCTTAACAGCTAATGTGTGTTAGTTTTCCAAACTAGACATCGAGTTAGCGATTCGAATTCTTAAAGTTGAAACATTTTTTTTTCTTTTGCTGTGGTATCAGAATTATATTTTCCAATATGCACCATGGAAACCTTTGTCTCACTTTCTTTTTTTTTTTTCTACTATTGTGCTGAGCTTTGCTTTTCAGACCCAGATCCCAGTTCACCTTTTGACCTCTACTAGAAAGAAGGGAGCTGGGTGCATACGCTGTTTGAGACTGTTGATATTTATTGGCTAGGGAGATGTTTAAAGCCTGTTTTATTTATTTATTATTTATTTATTTTGACCACATTAAACCCACACTGTGCTGGGAAAACAGGTCGGAGCAGCACACCCTCTGCTGGCTTAGTTCAGGATCCTGCTGCTACCATCTGCTAGGGAAGACATTTTACCCAAATGTAGAAAATCAACTTCCTCAAAAGCTAAAGATGCCATTGTTCTTTACGTCAGTTAAGAGAGAGGCGCGTTGCTTTAAAAAATTCAAGTACTTCTACTTGACAGGTCCACCTCCTGTAGGTGCTTCATGAAGCTGGTGCGGTAGCTTGAGGCACAGGGGTGTTAAGTTCACCCTAAAGACTAACACGCGCAAATCACAAGCCTAGGAAATCTGTCTTGGAGTGAGGCTGTTTGTCTGCACTACAGTTTTTCTACGGGACAAACCAGGCTTTTGATGAGATGGTTTCTAAGACCCTTTCCAGCTGTGTGGCTGTTGCAGGTAGCACTATCCTACCTCACAAGGGCTTGGAACGCAGGTAGCATCTTTACCTGAGCTACTGGAGCTTATGTGGAAAAAACAAAAAGAAAAAAAAACCAAAAAAACAAACCCAACAATAACAATAACAACAAAATAAAACCAGACAGCCAGGATTGGACATGGAGGTTGCCTCTGTAGTAAGGCCCAGTGACTGGGTTTGCTCAGAAATGCACATCACACACACACACACACACACACACACACACACACACCTTCTAGGCTACAGTCCCCCTAAATTTGCCTGCCGTGAAGTCACCTGGTCATCTGGTACTGTTTGATGGTTGTCACTTATGTTCTGTTCTGTGCCACCTGCCATGCAGCCCGGAAGCCATGCATCTCCTCGGATCCTCAGGCCAGCCTGCTATCTCCTTCTATCACAGTGGCTGCCACAGTCTAGGGATTCTGCCTCCCTCTTGTTGAACAGAGGGAGAGAGGAGTGGTGGTGGTGGGGGTGCAGATGTACCCAGTAATGCGTGAAACAATCCCACACCAGTTTGGATTCACAGGGGTATTTATTTTAGGGGAAAAACGTATAGAACACCGACAGCCAGGAAAGGAGTCTAGTCGCTGGAGCAAGAGCTGGAACCAAGAGAGGAAGAGAGCGAGCAGAGGGTTGGCGCTCTTTTTTTAAAAAGAGAAATAGACCACGCCCCAGTGGGCTGGTATTTCAGCAGCTATTGGCTGACGGAGCCAAAGGCGCTCCCGCAGCACCTCCCCCTTTTGTTTAAGTAAGAGAGTTCTAAACCTACTACAAAATTATATACAATAAGAACAAATATCCTATCTAACTAGCTTAAGTCTTGTATAATAAATAACTTGACCAAGTCATGAGAGGAAAGTAGCTACATTTATCTATTCTTCAACCCCATCGAAGATCTGAGAAGGGAAATAATGTTACCTGAGTAATTAGGAAGTGCAAGCAAACAACTTCCAAAACATACCACAAATCACAGAGACAACTGGCTACCTGGGCAATCACCCAAAGCCACATTTGCATCATCGAAGCAACCAACTTTCGCTAAGGCCTAACGTACCTAACATACCATTTTCAAAAGCAGGAAACTTTTCAAAACTATCTTACCCTGTCTTGGCAGGATATGACAGTCCTGTTTTATCCATTTACGGATACTCTGTATCTCTGTCAGTGGTTGAGGCATGGGCATTTCTCTGCCCAAAGGCCAGTTTTGCCAAAAAGAAAGGCTCCAGGTGGAGTGTCTTTGGTGCTCAACATTCTCTTGGGAATAGATGGGTGTTGTCAGGAGTGATTGTGTCTCACCACCACAGAACTCTAAGATTAAATTAAATACCATTTTTCTACCACTCTTTGAAGAGGTTGAAGATTATTTATACAGAATATAATCTCAAAAAAAGGAATATAATCTCTATGTATCTAAAGAACTTGATTAGTTTAACTATAAATATGATAGACATAGATGACTATTGATCTACAGTTCTTAATACCTATCTATCTTAAAGATTAAGAGAATAAATAACTGTGCAATAAATGGGGACAATGACCTCCAAATGTAAATAATGTATAAACAATATATAAGTATCTTAATCAGAGGTAGAAATGTACACTGCAATATGGTATATATATCAATACAATATATATATCAATACATAAAAATGTTTTAAACAGAGGTCGAAGCATGCATGCATACAATATTCAGCATAATTTTACTTTGTAATCATATACAAAAATCTATGCCAATGTAATTATCTATAACCGATAGAAGACACAGATCCATTTCCCCATTATCCAATTACCCGGACTGTGGGTCACTCATGGGACTGATTCTTAAAACCCACCTCTACCCTATTGAGAAAGGGGAAGCAAGCGCCTTTTTTTTTTCTGAAGATCTTCCTGTGATTCTCTCGCTCAGCAGCTCATCTCTTCCCCACCCTTTTGTACAGGCAAGTTTCTTGAAGGCAGTGCCTATATCTCTGGCTTCCCTTTCCCGTGTCGCCTTCCCCACGCTATGCTGCAGCTGCATGGCTTCCTATGGCGTGGCTGCCGGGGAAACTGGCTTAATTCAAGGCTACGCACAAGGCCTGTGATTAAGGCCTGTGGTCGGTTGGCATCTCTTGCCTTGTTCGCAAGAGTCCTTCTCCCTTGCCAGTCCTCCCAGGCTCTATGCAGCTCTGCCTTTGGTTATTTATGTACAGTGTTAAGGATTCTCCTGCCTTTGCTGCTCCTTTGGACTCTATCCCAGAAACCTTTTTGCTTTGTTCTATGAAGGCCGTGGTGTGTGTCCTCTATATACAGGTTGGGTGAAACCTCTGTGGTGGAGGTGAAGTGGTCTTCTTGCCATTAGAAATGCCCAGGGACAGGGATGAAGGAAAATGTAACCCAAGTCTTCTTCATGCTGAGCGTCACTGGACCCAGTGCTGGGGAGCAGGGTGGACCCTTTTTGAAAGCTTGTCCCAGAAGCTGGACCAGTGATGGGGTGAGGGCTGTACTTTAATAAGGAGACCCCAGCTGGCTCCCTGCTCCAGTAGGAGCTAGGAAACATTGTCAGCAAGGGTAGGTGACAGAGCTCTCTTTGGGAGGAACTTCCATAGAGAAGGCTTGTAGGGGTGGGTCCAGACCTACCAAGAGAATCAATCCGCCCGCCCATGTGCACCCAGGGTCTGCCTCAGCATGGAGACGCGGGGGAGGTCAGTTGGTCTTTTTATGCCATGAGGGCCCTGCACCACCCTCACCTCCAAGGAAAGCAGAGGAGTTGGGAGATGTTCGTCTTAAAGATCTCACTCCCTGCTCTTTCGGGACTTGGCTCCAAGATGACCAAAAAAAAAAAAAAAAAAAAAAAAAAAAAAAAAAAAAAAAAAAAAAAAAAAAAAAAAAAAAAAAAAAAAAAAACAACGGTCGTGCCAAAAAGGGCCGCGGCCATGTGCAGCCAATTCGCTGCACTAACTGCGCCCGCTGTGTGCCCAAGGACAAGGCCATTAAGAAGTTCGTCATTCGGAACATCGTAGAGGCGGCTGCCGTCAGGGACATCTCCGAAGCAAGTGTTTTCGACGCCTATGTGCTCCCCAAACTCAATGTCAAGCTGCATTGCTGTGTGAGCTGTGCCATTCATAGCAAGGTAGTGAGGAATCGATCCCGGGAAGCTCGGAAGGACCGAACGCCCCCACCACGACTTAGACCTGCTGGTGCTGCACCACGACCTCCACCAAAGCCCATGTAAAGTGGCTTCATGAAGATAGAAGAAAACACCTTGGAAAAATAAAATGGAACTTAAACTTTAAAAAAAAAAAAAAAAAGATCTCACTCCCTGAGTGCTGTAGTGACATGGAAGGCCACGTCCAAACTTTACCCCCTCATTACTCAGGGAGGGGTGGTCTCCAGTGTTCAAGCACCTACAGGTGATAAAACCCCACATGTTCTTTATCCTTCTCATTATAAATTACCTAAGAAACCCGCAAAAAAAAAATGTGGCTATGTAACAGACACACAAAAACTTCAAATCCTGTCATATGTAAAAGCAAATGAAGAAGGAATAAAATGAGTGACTGAAAACCGGGAAAGAGCATGAACTAAAGCTGTGGGTGTCCCTGTGGTGGGCACATGAGGAGATGAAACACAGCCTCTTCGGCTGGCATCATCCCGGCTCAGGCCTGGTTTAGGCCGCCTTCGTGTTGAAACCCCGTGGGCACTGCTCCCCTGTTCTGTTTAGAAGACATAATCTCCCAGCAGCCTTCCTGGTTTTCTGGCTCTTAGAATCTTTCTTCTTGATCTTCCTTGAAGCTCCCCAAGCCTTAGGTGTAGGGATGGTGTTGTAGATGAAGCTGGATGGCAAGATCAACTGTTCTCTGCATTTTGACCAGTTGTGGCTTTGTGTAACGGGCTTTTCTGCTCTAGGCTGTTAACGACAGCTGAGAGGGGGAGACTTAGTCTTCCTCAGGGATAACCTCCCTAATTGGTTATGAAATACCAAGTGGTTAGCCTTAAAAACATATCTGTATATACACTTACAAAAACATTAAATGGACTTGTTTTTACATATATATTAGTATATATATGTAAAACAATAATTATAGAAAAAAGTTATGAACTTGAGAGGGAACAGGGATAGTGGGAAGGCTTGGGGTGAGAAGGGGAGAATGATGTAATTTTATTTTAATTAAGATTAAAATAAATTAAGACACCATTTTACTTTGTTTACTGTTACTAAAATGGAATTACAAATAAATCCATTTCATTGCAGTGTATATGATTAGGAATAGAGTAGAATTTTCATTTTTCCTCCATGTGTTGACACCTACTTTACGTTTTTCCTCTCACCAGAAGTAGTGTTTTTGTTTGGGAACTGCACATGAAAATTTCCACAGCCACCCTTAAAAAATAATCTTTCTTAAAACAAAACAAAACAAAACATGAAAAGGATCATTTACTCTTTCATTACTGAAATTACTCATTTCATTACCTGAAAATTTGTATAAGTTGTAAGTTAAAATTTTTTTTTTTTTGGAATAGGGATTCATTGATTTATTAGTTCCCTTATGTCAGATGATCTGCTAGCTCAGAATCCTAAGCCGCCCTCAGCTACAAATCCCTTAGGGATTTCCTTTCAGCCTGTGCCTGATGAAGCCTCCTTGTTCAGGAAAAGATTTGTGATGGAGGGCATCCGGGCGCCATTGCTGTTAGGCGAGCTTTGTACCCGTGTGAAGGTGGGAGTGGATGGAGCTGCGGGCCGGGGAGTGTGTGTAGGGGAGGCCTCTGGCTTCTGCCCATTGTCAACAGCCCCCAGTTTAGTGTTTTGGTTTTTGGTGATCCCAGTCCCACATTCCAGACTCTGTCACAGACAGGTTTTGGCACAGCCGACTCTGCCTATTTGGGGGATGTTTAAAACAGTGTCGGCATGTCTCATGTCCCTGGGAAGCTGAAACCAGCTGGCCGTTGGCAAGAGCCCTGGCCTCCTGTGCTGTTGCTTCCTTGGCCAACACAGGTCGCTGGAAGATTGTGGGCATGTTCCAATTTTTGGAGAGAGGGTAATCTAAGAAAGCAAGAGAGTAGGTGAAAATGTCTGTTGCACACCCTCACTCCCCCCACCCCCCACTAGCAACTCAGGAATATTGGGTGTCATCTTGGAGACTGGTACCCTAACTTGCCTTTTAGGCCCCTGGGACCTTCCTAGTGGGCAACACACTACTTTTCCTTGCAGAGTTTCTGCTGCGTCCCTAGTTCCCACCTTACAAAAATCCCCATCCAGATGGGCCACTCTAGGGTGACGCCATGTGATTAAGTTCACAGGGGTCCAGTTCCTCACCTCTGGGTGTTTGTGGAGGATGGTCAGCAGTGAATTGCCACAGGCTTTTTCTGTTGTTATGGAGGCCCATGCTCTATGGTAGCCTCAAAGCCTATAACGGGCACATTTTCAGAAGGAAGACTTCTCTCTCAGGTCACCCGGAAATAGCTCTTCCGCTCTGTCTCTGCGCTTGCCGATAATCTCTTTTGTTGCATGATTCTGATTGGTGGCTTGTGTTTGCCCATCACACGGTTTTCCAGGCTGCTCCTGTCAAATTTCTTTCCAGCCCGGAGGATCTCTGTAGACAACTTTCATATTCACGAGTTCTTCAAGATAACCCATTCCGCACTCCAGACTGCTGCTGAGGCTGGTGGAGGGCGGTGCCGCTGTAATCCGCAGCACTTCGTGCTCTTGGCCGCCACGCCTTGTTCTTAGAGAAGTGGTGTAGGGAGTTTGCTGGTGCCCTGTGGGAATCTTCAGAGCAGAGTCTCTTTGATGGGCTCTGGGAAAGATCTCTGCTTAAAAGCAATTTCATAATTTCCTTTGCATATCTGGAGAGGATGGAGATTTTCAGATACAGCTGCCCCTGAATTTTTTTGGTTAGCTCTTCCTTTGGGGCTGGTCTCTGCCTCACCAGTTAGATACCAGGGGTTCTGACATCAAAATCTGTCTCTCTGGTTTATTTTATTAGGTGTGTTTTGTGCTTTCTTCCTGTGGGACATGGTGTTACTTTTAAGCCTTCTGCCTCCTGGGCACTTTTTCTTCGGCTCCCATGTGCCCTTACAGGCTGAAAGGAAATCCCTAAGGTTTTGATGACAACCCCTTCAAAGTTGGTGAGTGCTACTCCTCCTCGGGGTCTGCCTAGTTCCCGCTAGCTGGGTTGTTTCTTCCATAAGGTGTAGGTGTGGTCTAGCTTTCAGTCACTGCCCCAAAACACCTGAGACATTAGCTCTGCAAGGTGGGGAGAGGTATTTTGGCTCAATGCTTCTGGAAGTTTTATAGTGATGGCTCCAGCGTTGGTGGGCCTGCAGCAATCCAGAAAACATCCCAGCAAGGTGCTGTGGCAGAGTCAAGATGATGCAAGAGAAAGGGTTAGGTCTTGATTCCAGTATCACCTTCCACAGCACGCTCCTCAGTGATGACTTCCTTCCACTAGGCTGCACCTGCGGCTCACATGTTTCCCATCGATGACTAAGCCCTTGCTCGGCACAGGAGGATTCTCAAGGGCCACACTGGAGTGCACATTTTAGGTTTCTTTTGGCAGTAGCATCGCACTTATTTTGACAAAAGTTACCGAAAGTTCAGTGTTTATCTCCCTCATCCTTTGTGGGTCAGGAATTAGAGGCTTCTGGGCTCTCTGATGCTGTCTGTTTGTGGACTCTTTACGAAAGCCAAGGCAGGGATGCGAACATCTGCATAGGACACGTAGCTCCATTTTCCAGATACCTCACACGCACATCTGGAAGCCAGCCCTAGCAGTTCCGAGCATCTTGAGCTCCTTGAGCCATGGGTCTCTCTCCACAGAACCTCACAATACAGCAGTGAGAATTTGCTTTGTATTGACCTTGACTCCACATGGAAACCAGATACTGCCATTTCTAAAGCCACGGCCTGGCCTTGACTGCAGGCTGGGATGACACAGTGACACAAACGGCAGAGCACAGGAACATCTGGGCTTCACTGTGTGTGTACACACACGTGTGTGTGTGTGTGTGTGGGGGGGGGGGAAGCACAGTCCCAAAGATGCACAATAGAAAATTGTTTAGAACCTCAGCTGCTTAAGCTTTTGCTTGGTGTTCATCCCTGAAATGGTTAGGAATTGAATTTTGTTCTATATGTATTTATGTTTCTTGGCTGTCTGTTTTGAGGGTTAATATTCAAAATATTTAACAACTGGTCTAGCAGAGGGACAAGGCCACCAGAGGTAGCTAATATCATGCGTGGCTTTTCCACTTGTGCTTGTGTGTTTTTAACAACACATTACTTAGTTCTGAGTGTTAACATTTTTGTGTGCGACTATTCTAGAGACTTCACACTTATGCCAGTGGCCAAAGGGGTGGTCAGGCAGGTGTTGGTTGGGTCCTCCGCCACCCTCTGGATAAGCATCAAGTATTTGGAAATTTGAGCAGTCCCCCTCTGATCCCTCTAGATTGGATATTTCATCACAGTCCTCGGTATCTGACTCTGGATGCTTGGGGGATATTGATTTATGCCCTGGTGCACTGGCTGCTCCGTCTGTTGGGATGATAGGGTGGGATGGAGGAGCAGGTGGCACAGCTGAATGGGATTAGCGGAGCGAGCTAAGTTCTGAATTACAGGCACCCGTGGCTGAAGTTTCTCGCTCAAGTTTGGTCGCAAGGATGATTTCGACTTGCTGACCCCCATCTCATGTTTCTTCTTATGGAAATCCATCAGAATCTTCGCCTTCATCCGACCCAGTCCCACGCGGTCTATTTGATGGTCTTGTAGGTATCATTCTACCCCACCAGCTGCCTCCTGAAGCTGTTGGTATACTCTTCAGCAATTGCCACTCCTGCCAAGGTGCCTCTGTGAGCTGTTGCAACTCTCAGGGCGATTGCTGGGAGCTGTGGAAAGAGACCATATTCTAAATTCTTGACTCCAGATACGGTTAGTATCCAGGCAAAGGAATATGCACCATGGCGTGCAAGACCCCTTTAGAGCAAGCTTGAAATTCTCTGCTTCAGTGAACCCTGACTATGAGAACAAGAGGATGAAGAGTGATTTGATCTCCTTCTCTCCAGAGGATAATGATCTAAGACAGTCTTAACAATGAGAAACCCTGAAAAAACGAGCCTGAGCTACTAAAATTTTTGTGATAATAGTATCATCCGCGTTATGTCCAGCGTCCATATTAATTCTCTGACGGATCAGGAGAAATTTGAATGTAAAACCGGCCCCCATAATTCTAAAAATTAACATGAAGGCCGGAGCCTGCCAGTTTTGAGGAAATTGGGTAGGCCTAGCGTGAATGGCAAGCTGCCGCTGC